GTTTTTTTATTTAATGTATTTTATTAGTTTATTTAGTTTTATTTTAGTTTTGTTTTATTTTAATGATATTTGACGTCTTTTTTATTTTATTGTTTTTTGCTTTATTTTCTTTTCTTTTAGATTTTAGTGCCGAATGAAATTAATCAACAGTGAGTATAAGTTTTTTATTCTTGTTTATCTTTATTTTATTGTTTGGTGTTGTATTTGATCTTTTTTTATTTTAGGTTTTATTACAGCATGAAGTGAATCCACAGTGAGTAAAAATTTTTTTAAATTTTATTCTGTCTTCTTTTAGTTTTATTTGACTTAATTTAATTTTTATTTTATTGTTTTTTGTTGTATTTTATATTATATTGTTTTAGACTTTATTACTACATGAAGTCAGTCAACGGTAAGTATAAATTTTTCATTTTTTTTATTTTTATTTTCATTTTATTGTTTTTTATTTTATTTTATATATTTTTATTTTATGACATTTTTTTTAATTCATTTTATTTTGTTTTATTTTTATTTTTATTTTAATTTTAATAAATTTTATCTTTATTAAATTTTATTGGCATCTTATTTTATTTTTATTTAAATATGAAATCAGCAGGATTCCATCGAATTCTAAGTGTATCCGACGTTTTCGGACTATCGGATCCGACATCCGACAACTTCCGATCGGATTACCGTAACAAGGATTTCGGCAACTTCCGATAGGATCCTGTCGGAAGTTGTCGGATTTTCCAGGGAATCGGATCGGATCCGACTGTCGGATTCTTCGTCCTGGGATAGTCTATTCTGTAGAAATTTCATGCTTCTCGGTAGCCATCGAATGTCGAACACTTAAATAGTGTCTTATTTGGTACTACTTTTGTTCACAAGGGTCTTTAGGGACTTATTTACATTTGGTATATAAAGGGTGTGTCATAAGTTTTGATCCCATCCTTATTTTTACTGTAACTTTTTTTTTTGATCTTTAAAGCTGATTGTTTTTACAAAAGATGCGCCGTGAAATTCTCTACAAAATCATAATCAAACATATTTCTGTAGAAAGGTAACAAAAAAAATTAAATGAAGATTATCCAACACATAAAAAATACCCAACTATCGAAGCTAACGAGTGTCCCATAATCCATGGCCACTGTTTGTATCTCTTTTTTTATCATTTAGTACGTTTATTTTAAAAGCGAAGTATACCATAAGATGCAGCGTGAAAAGCTCTACAATTTACCTAGAACAATTTATTATATATAACGGGTGGTCGAAAAGTTTTCGGACAAAATGTTGAAAGCTGAAACATCTATATATAAGCTATAGAAACAATCTTTTTTTTACTGATTACATAGATTGTCGTGCCCTCTATCTGTACTATAAATTTGAGATTTTTCGATCGAGCCATTGTTATCAAAATGATTGATCTTCGTAAACGTGTTTTTTCTATGCTTGGACAAACAAGAATTTAAAATAATTGACATAGTAAAACATTTTGTACTGAAAGGCTTTAAACGATCAACAGTTTATGATGCAATAAAACGTTGCGAAATTGGTTTACCAGTTGAAGATTGTTCAAGGAGTGGTCGTCCAACATCTTTTAATAAAAAAAACCTGAAGCGTTTACAAAATGCTGCTGAAAATCGTGTGGGTGTGAGTTAAAGGCAAGTTTTTAGACAATGTTTAAACTTATGTTTCTCCTCTTGACTAAATCTTTATTACATAGGTTCTTTCTACATAAAACATACAAAACCTAAATGTAGAAACATAAATAGTTAAAACATAGAAAATGGTCCTTTTTCTTCTATATTTCGTAATTTTGTTGGTACGGTCTTCATCATGTGTTGAACAATCTTCATATCGATTTGTTTTATTTTCTTATAAATTCTTCTTTTTAATTGTAATTCATTTTTTGCCTTTCAACCTCCTTCATATACTTTATCAGCAAGCATCGACCAAAAATCTTCTATTGGTTGAGCTTTTGGAACTTTTGGTGGATTTACTTCTTTCGATATAAATTTGATGTTATGTTGAATAAGCCATTCTGTTATTTCTTTGGCATAATGTGAAGATGCTAAGTCAGGCCAAAATACATAATCATCATGAACATGGTGTTCCTTAATAAATGAAAGAAGTTTGCTTAAACATTGATCAATGTAAACATCGTCAGTAACAGCCGGACCTTTTGCAGTTCCAATAAAAGGTTTTGAAAAACCTTTTGCTGATAAAGCTAACCAAACTAAAACCTTTTTAGGATATTTTTCTTTCGTTTTATATTTAACATGATCTGGAGCATGTTTTTTATCAAATGAATAAAAACCAGTATTTTGTGGCATGTTATTATTGGAAAAAGTAAAATATTTTTCGTCATCAACGATAACGAATGTATTTGATGTCATTTGACGTCTAATTTTTCGACATTTTTTTGGTACTTGTCGAAGTTGTTCGTTTGTATATTTTGGTGCTTTTTGACGTTTATAATATTTAAGACCAATTTTCTTCAAATTATAGTGAATGGTCGAATGTGTGACACCAAATTTTGTTGCTAACTTTCTTTGACTCACACCCACACGATTTTCAGCAGCATTTTGTAAACGCTTCAGGTTTTTTTTTATTAAAAGATGTTGGACGACCACTCCTTGAACAATCTTCAACTGGTAGACCAATTTTCGCAACGTTTTATTGCATTATATACTGTTAATCTTTTAAAGCCTTCTAGTACAAAATGTTTTACTATGTCAATTTTTTTTAAATTATTTTCTTGTCCAAGCATAGAAAAAACACGTTTACGAAGATCAATCATTTTGATAACAAATGGCTCAATCGAAAAATCTCAAATTTATAGTACAGATAGAGGGCACGACAATCTATGTAATCAGTAAAAAAAGATTGTTTCTATAGCTTATATATATATGTTTCAGCTTTCAACATTTTGTCCGAAAACTTTTCGACCACCCGTTAGATGCACCTTTTGTTTTTAAAATAAGTAAAATTCTGTGCGACAAATAAATCATCTTATTCGCAGCGTCGAAAATTGGTCGCACAGATATTTACCCATATTGAAAACGAAGAGTGCATATATCAAATAAGTTTTTAATGCAACTTGTAGAGCGTTTTACGCTGCATCTTATGGTATGCTTTGCTTTTAAAATAAACGTACTAGATGATCAAAAAAGAGATACAAACACTGGTCGTTGATTATGGGACACTCGTTAGCTTCGATAGTTGTGTATTTTTTATGTGTTAGATAATCTTCATTTAATTTCTTTTCTTACTTTTCTACAGAAATAAATTTGATTATGATTTTGTAGAGAATTTCACGGCGCATCTTTTGGAAAAACAATCAGCTTTACAGATCAAAAAGAAAAAAAGTTATAGTCAAAATACGGATGGGATCAGAACTTATGACAACCCTTTATTTCAGCTTAATTTTATTATTTTCCGAACTATATTTATCATCCATTGATTGAAGTTATGATAGAAACCCGGTCGCGTTCTTCATGAAGACATTCACTTCTTTTGATTAATAACATTCTAAACTTTGTGAAGAGGTTTTTTTCTTATTAATAAAAAAATATTTTAAAAACTTGAAAAACTAAAAGCAAAAATTGAAAATGTGTATATAACTGTGAAAATAGTTTTTATCGTGTTTTATGAAGTGTTATGTATAGCAGAGTTGTAACCGGTCCGGATCGGTTGAAATGGTTGAACCGGTCGGTTTTCATCGGTTTTTACCGGTTGAAAAATATTTTATAAATCTCTGGTTTTTGTGGATAAAATTTGTTGAGAGCAAGTTTGATGCTCTTATCAAAATAACCAACATGTTTTATTTCAAAAAAAGTTTTTTTTCTTCTGTTCATCAATCTGTTTCATTTCTTTAATCGAAGTACACTTAATTTTTTTTAAAAGTACATTCGCAACTATATTAGTTTAGCTGAACTTATTTCATACATTTTCTTTTTCGAAGAAAAAATTTAGGCTCCAACCACTATTGAGAGAGAAACTTATATTTGTCTGCAAAAGTTAAGTAAGAGAAATTCAAGATTTGGCATGTGACAATCAATTGATATATAAATGAGAGAGTTTTCGAGTTATATATAAATATCTCACGTATTTATCTTTGAGAAACGAAACAGATACGGACAACCACGTAGAACATGATATTCCTTCATGGCGATCTATAAAAATCTGAACAAAAAAGGAAAATGACTGTTTTTGAAATCATCCCTGTCACCCTATTAATAATGGTGCAGCAAGCGGGCTACTTTCTGCTGATTTCCACTGGCCTAAGAGATGTTTTCAACCGACTGGTCACTAGCCGAACTGGATCAATCTATAAAACTTCAATTGGTGAACCGAACCAGGTTAACGATCTTGATCGATCACAAGTTTGGGTTGTCCCCTAGTTTTCTAATCAACCAGATTTGTTTTCGAATAAACTGATTAAACGGATGTTTTCATTAAAAACAACTGAGAGCCAATTGTTGTTTTTTTTTAACATTTTCTATCAATTTTCAAGCAATAAAGATCAATTTAATCAAAAAATCAGGGAAATAAAAAACTCGAGGAAAATCAAAATAACCGGAAAAATCAAAAACATCATCCTCTACACGCGCGGAACGTCTTTTTTAATAACCATCCTCTACCTATATATTTCAATTATAAGAAAATACTTAAAAATAAGGTACAAAATATTTAAGACTAGTTCTATTTAAATTAGTGATATGTTGAATTTTTTTATGATATTTATTATTTTCATTTAAAATTAATAAAAAATTATAAAAAGTCAGCTGTTTTCTCCTAGGTAAAAATCTGTAAGCGTTTCGAATGGAATTTCACTCCTAATATCACTTATCAGACGAAAAAATTTCGTGAACTCGTCGGTTTTTACTGGTTGGGCCGGACCAGTTACAACTCTGATGTATAGAACGGATGATATTTCATCAAAACTCGTTTTCGTTTATGAATTCATTCGGCGATATTGAAATCGTTGAATATCATCGTCAACTAGAATGAACTAATTTGAAATGCCTATCGAATGGCTAACTGGAATTATTGATCTCTAGAATAATGTTGAAAAATTTTCAATAAAATAATTCAATCTAAATATTCATTGACGTTTGAATAGAATTTTATGTTTTTTGACAAAGTATTATTATTATTATTATTATGAATTACTTTAATTTGCATTAACATTGAATAAAAAACAACATTACTTCTCTGATGGAATATTCTTAATAAAAATCGTCATGTTTTATCAATAAATTACTATTGATCAATTTTCGAAGAAAAATAAAATTGTTATCGTCATAAAATGCGAGCTTATCTTGTCCTATAGGATGGATAGAAAATGTAAAGAAGCATAATTTTTATTGTACACTTTGAAATGTATGTCTTTTTAAAAACGTGAGACAACCACAAAAAGAAGCGAATGCTCTTTGAATATTTGAAAGGTTATATTTTGCGGCTGAATAGATCGTAAATAGAATTGTGGTTTAACGGCTGTTGTTTAATATTGACACAAAAAGTTTTATCAGAGAATAATCAACATTGATTGTCATATAATCTTCAGTTTTAACAGAAGTAATAAAAATTTAATAGCTATCGTTGGATGAAATTTCTAACATATACTGTCAACAATTTAGTGAATTTCTTCTTTACTTAAAAGATCAAGGACAAATGATAACTGTTATTGAGACGTACCCATTAATAAATTGTAAGCTAAAAAATCTTTCATAAAGTTTTCAATCTTTATAGATTTCTATCGAATTAAAACTTTTCTAAATCAATATTGGTTAAATAAAATGGAAAAAATATTGAAAAATCCAATTATGTATTGTCACTATCGTTAATGATTTGTATTAATTGTATTTAATAGATTCTGATTTTAAGATATTATATATAACTTTATATTTGATCAACAAATAGAATATAAAATCATGTTAACCGATTTGACTTTTCTTTTATGTTTTGTATTTCAAGGTAACTTTTCAACAAATTAGAATAACCACAATAGGGGAATAAGCATTTGAATAGAACGTATAAACCTACACAGTAAATATATTTATAGAAAATTTCTTGAAATACTTATTTATTTTCTTGTTGAACATGAATATTATTTAAAGAATATAAGTCTAAACAGTGAAATATTATTATCTGATGTTAAAGTTTAGCCACGGAAAAATTCTTCCGAAAAAAACCGCGATAATCTTAGGTTAACCGTGATTTTATTCCGCATTTTGAAAAACCGCGAAAGTCAGACCGTTTATGCGGTTTTTGAAACCGGCGAAAACCGTGGTTTGCAAATACCGCGGTGAGAACTGGGAAAACCGCGGTCCGAGCTGAGGTTTTGCAGGTCTAACCGCAGTTTTCTCGATTCTCACCGCGGTATTGGCAAACCTCGGTTTTCGCCGGTTTCGAAAACCGCATAAACGGTCTGACTTTCGCGGTTTATGAAACCGCGATTTTTTCTTGAAAAATTTTTCCGTGGGTATTATTGTTAAAACATTTTTTCTTTAAATTTATTTTAAAATAAAATATTATAAAAAGTAAAGATTCGAATGAATAACAATTACCTTCGAAAAATAATTCTGAAATATTTCACTCGAAAAATTCTATTTAAAATAAATTCTGAATAATGATAATTTGAAAACATCTATAATCATTATCGTACAGTCAATAAGTACTTAAAAAATACAATAGAAATAAATCAATGACGCATTTGTTTTCGAAAAACAATTATATAAAAGAAAAAGAAAAAACTCTAAACACTCTTTTTAATCTCAGCGAAATATTTAATCTGAATAATGATCATTCTTTCATTCACTTTTGTTAGATTTCTCTCCTTTTATATTCATGTGCTTTTTTCTCACTCAAATATTCGATGTTTTGACTGATGTTTGACAAAGATAAAAGTATTTCGATATAAATATCTTAAACGATTTTAGATATTCGTTCGAAAATTTTGAAATGAATCTTGAATTTACTGTAACAGAAAGTATAACCCGTTATTCTGGTATAATTAATGAAATTCAATATGAATTTGAAGAATTTACTATTGAAAAAAGTTCTCTTGGTATGACAAATAAAAGAGAAAAACGTAGTCGAATATATAATGCTACAATAAAACGAAAAGATTACAATATTTTAACTCGATACATTCCTGATGCATTATCATTTAATGATTTTATTCTTGTTTTACGTCCATTCGTAATGGGATATTATCAAAATGATGATTTAATCAAAGCCTTTCAAATTTTAGATAAAAATCACTCTGGTTCAATTGATATTGATGACTTAGCGAATTTTTTACCAATTATTAATGAATATGCAACTATTGATACTTTGAAAAATTACATTAGAAAATCAGATTTTAATTTTAATGGATCTTTAAATTATGATGAATTTCGATCACTTATATTGCGAGGTATTGGACGTGAGATGATATGTATTCATGTCTAATTGATATTGCCACATAAAAATGAACAAAAACATATCTATTTTAGTTCTGACATGTGTTTTACTTTTTTTGTTCTATTTGATTAAAATGAACAAATTCTTCTGCTCATTTTTATACTTAATTGAAATTATCTATGAAATAAAGTTCAAATAGTTCATCGATAAACAGATAATTTATATGAACACTCTTGCAGACTTTAAAACAATATGATCATTTTAAATATTCGAATTTGAAAAATGATTTAAGTACGATATTCAATTTTATTAATTAAAATAAACAATCAGTTAAGAATTTTTTTAATACTTAAAATTGATTCATAGTTAAAATAGCAATGACTTAAGAGTCTCACTTCCAAACTTGGAAAAAGTCAACTTTTTCTTGTCAATAAACTCCAGTCCTGGACAAAAGTAACCGCGTCCCCACCCCTCCTCTAAACTGATTGTATTTCTTATGATATGAGGTTGATATTTTGGATATAGATTGATCTTAGTGAACCCTGATCGCAAGCATCAACCCGACCTTAATCGGTTGATATAGATTGGAGTTATCAGATCAACAATATCATCAAATTGTGAAACTAATATCTCGGTCATTTTTTGACCTTTGCGTTCACGTAATCCCTCATCTGTTATACCCACTGGTGTGGTTATCAACATTCAAAGTTTGGTAAGAAACTGCTTTGAAATAACCGAGATTTGAAGTTCACATTGAAAACTTTCATCAAGTAATTAGCCATAGTTTCTAATCTGGCGTCAATAAGTCAAGCTCAACTCAATCAATTCATTTGAAAACTTCAGCAATGAGTTCTCATGAATCCACACGTTTGTGGTAGAATTTTCCAAGCTGTAACTCAATGTAGAGCGAAGATAGAATTATCAGAACAGTTCATTACGACACAGCTTATCAATCGACGAAATCTCGTTATTTTGTGACGAGCTTTGGACTAATGAATCTAGGTATCATGGGCCCCATTAGCGCCAAAAAATGAAAATAAATTGTAGACAGACGAAACAACAAACGAAAATTTTCTTAGATCGCATTTCCCTTTTGATTTCTTCAACACACCATATGCAATGCATCTATGCATGCGAAACTCTCGGATACAAGTGAATTCGTGCTCAATTTTCAGGGAATGCTCATTTTTATTAGAACACTCTAGAGTACGTATATATAGGGCTAATACAATTAACAAGAAGCTTCATGAAGCCGGCAACATTATTTTGAGGCGAAATTCTTCCTGGGATAGAAGTATTTTAGGCATAGACACATTCTATGCGGTGCGTTGAAGAAATCGAAGAGAAATGCAATCTAAGAAAATTTTCGTTTGCTGTTTCGTCTGTCTACAATCTATTTTCTTTTTTTTTTTGGCGCTAATTGCAGTCTATGATACCTAGATTCACTAGTTCAAAGCTTGTCACAAAATAACGAGATTTCATCGATTGATAAGCTGTGTCGTAATGAACTATTCTGCTGATTCTATCTTCGCTCTACATTGAGTTACAGCTTGGAAAATTCTACCACAAACGTGTGGATTCATGAGAACTTATTGCTGAAGTTTTCAAATGAATTGATTGAGTTGAGCTTGATTTATTGACGCCAGATCAGAAACTATGGCTAACTACTTGATGAAAGTTTTCAATGTGAACTTCAAATCTCGGTTATTTCAAAGCAGTTTCTTACCAAATTTTGAATGTTGATAACCACACCAGTGGGCATACAGATGAGGGATTGCGTGAACGCAAAGGTCAAAAAATGACCGAGATATTAGTTTCATAATTTGATGATATTGTTGAGCTGATAACTTCAATCTATATCAACTGATTAAGGTCGGGTTGATGCTTGCGATCAGGGTTCACTAAGATCAATCTATATCCAAAATATCAACCTCATATCATAAGAAATACGACCAGTTTAGGGGAGACGAGGGGCGGACGCGGTTTCTTTTGTCCAGGACTGTAGGTTTTGAGGATAATCTATTCTACAATACTTTCACAATGATTTATTTGTCAAGATTTTTCATGATCTCTGTCATTTTCGGTTTCAAACAAAAATATTTTCTTTTCGAAGAAATCTATTTCCAAGTCTTCGCTTAGAAAGATAAAAGTATTTTAAATAAGTTTGTTCAAAGATCTCGAAAAGTAAGTCTTATTCAATAGTAATGATCGATTTATTGCTTAACATAAAGATAATGGGTAGAGAAGAAAAACAATATGTCTTAAAATATTCAACGAGCTATAGAATTTTTCATATTATCTAATAAAGTTCATCAGCTATTTCCAATAGATATAACAAATGTTCATCGTTCTGTTCAAAGCTATCAAACCCCAAGTATCTTAAATAGTCATATGTTCGAAAATGATATACTTTAAATAATTTTTGATTATTATCTGGCTTATTTTCATTCTATGAAATATTTCACCTTGGCTCAAATGAGAGAAAGCGCCCAAATTTTACCCTATTTCGACTTTTCTCGCTATGAAAGTTTTTATTTTAAATAGAAAAAAATTTCTTTGAAATTGATTTTGTCTTTTTTTTATGGAACAATGAAAATGAAAAGTCTAATGAATTTATTTTTCTATTAGATATTTGAAATAACTGAATATTTACGTATCAATACGAGTTATTCAATAAATCATCTTGAAAATGAATTGTTTTAATTTATTGCTATTAACTCTCTGTTTAGTCTTATACAAATAACATAAAGTCGCATGAAAGATTTCTGTTTTCGATTTCAACAATAAAGAGAAAGATTTGATCAATTTAACTTTTCGTTGTGATTATTCATCATTAAATTAAAAGATCTTATATCGAATTTATCTGCTTATTTACATTACATTATTATTGACAAAAATAAACAAATAAAAATTAGAAAAATCAGTTAATTATTCATATGAGAACGAATATTAATAATAATAATAATAATAATAATAATAAGCATTGATTTAATATTGTTTTAAAAAAAATAATATGCCCCGGGTGAGGATCGAACTCACGACCTTCAGATTATGAGACTGACGCTCTACCGACTGAGCCACCGCGGCGGCTGAACATTCTCTTGACTTGAAGAGCACAGACAATGAACACCTTTTTCCTTATCAAACAAGACGTACACAGCATGGCGAATACATTCAAAATAAAACTTTCTTTCATTGAAATGACAATAAACATTATGTGCAAAATGTCAAATTAGAAGACATAGAAATTAAATCATAAGAAATAATTTATAGTTCTACCTTCGCGACAAACCTTTATGTCTAATGACATAAACCATGAAAATAATAAAATAGTAGAAATAGATTATGTTTTACCAATAGTATACATCATAGAATATTTCAAGGTTTGTTTTTTTTTTCTATATTTGAATGACATGAAATAAGATAATTTCCTTCTGGAGTATTGACTGATTCATGATTCTTTTTTTCACGATGAAACTTAATAAAATCATTCAATTCAAGAGAAACTAATTAAATGTTTGGGTCTTTGCAAATATTTTTCTCAATAAATAGCTTTTATATTTTAACTATGAAATTCAAATATAACAGATTTGAAGCTTGTCCTATATCGAAAATAATAGATTTTGAAATAAATAAAAAAAAAATAATATTGACAAAGACAAAACGAGAAAAATGACTAAGTAAGATCAATAATTGACTGTTGATTAAGAATAACATCATGTATTATAATCCAGTTGAAACGAAATCATCTCAGATATGCATAGAAGTGTAGAAATTAATGGACTAAAACATTATTATTGTTGTTGTCTAAAAAGTTGATCACTGAATAATTTTAGCATCATCTTATCATTTTACAAATCTACTTAGTTATAATTATTATATTTTATCATTTAAGTCGTTAGAGATTGACTATCAATATTTGTATTAAATTCTCAACTGATTGAATCAATTTAATTAACTATAAAAATTCAATTTTTATCATATGTTTCTTTTATAGTACAATAACATATATAATGGATTTACTGAGACAAATTTCTTCAAATAATATTGAAAATCTTTCTTTAGTTTTGTTTGTTTGATATGTAAAAAAAGGTAACTAAGTGAAAAAAAAAGAAAGTTAATTTATTTATTAATTTGTTAATTTGTTGTTTGTGAATGAATTCAACAAATATTTGGAAAAAAAGATCAAATGATAAAAGTGAAAAAAAATCGAATGGAATTATAAATTGTCATAATTTTAAACCAAAGAAGAAAAAAATAAATTTAAATTTCTTAAAACATAATTTAATAACAAATTGGATTGAAAATGAAGATGATGAAAAAAGTCAATCATCAATTGATTGTGATTTTTTTTATAAAAAATCTCAAATAAATATAAATGATCAAGATGAAGATAGTTTACAACTTGAAAATCTTCAACATTTATCAACAATGAAAAATATTATTTTTCTTGATTTAGAAAATTTTTCAAGATTTTTTCAACATTTAACAAATCAGTTACCTAATCACACTTATGTTATCGCTTTTCAAGCTTCAAATATTCAATGGAAACCACCGAAAAAGTTTTTAAAATCAAATCTTTTTTCTCTCAATTTAATCATACTTATTTTTCATTTTTCTTTTTCTTAGTGATTTAGTTTATGAAAATTTATTAAATTTAAATAACTTTCAATTAATGCGTCCAAGTGGAAATCGACATGATGCTGCTGATTTTGCTCTTGTTCTTACTGTAAATTTTTTTAGAAGAAATTTTATTCCTATGTCTTACGTTTAATAATTAGTTTGGTAAACTTCATGGTCTTCTTCCAAAATCAATTCCATTTACAATAATTAGTGGTGATAAAGGTTTTATTGAAGTTATTCATCAATTAAAAAATTCTCATCGAAGAATAAATTGGTTTAATCCTCATCAATTTTCCTATGAAAATTTTAATCACATTTTAAATATTTCATCAACATCTTCTTTACATATTTAATGTTTTTTATTTAAATTAGATTTTAGTATTTTAATTTATATAAAAACT